TTATTATTATTATTTTTATTTTTATTAACATTATTATCATTATTACATTTTGTAATTATATGTACATATATAAATATATACTATATTCTGTTACAGAAAGCTTGAGATAGGATTTGTAATATTCTATAATCTTGAGGCTGTGTTTAAAATATTTTGTCTGAGTTACAAAGGTAAACAAATTGTAGCCTAAGAGACTAGAATTATTTATTAAATTTCTAAATTTAGGTTACATATCTCGCACAATGCACAAGTTTGAGTTCTTGCTTGCTATAATGACAACAGTACATGTTATGCCAGGTCTAGAATTTTAATATCTTGAAATGAATTTTAGAAACTAAGAGAAATCAATTTAATCAAATTATTTTTCAAGGCTTGTTTTTGACGCCAATATCGATCTTCCAAGTGCTACGTGTGGTTCGTCTGGTTAAGGCATCTCCAATGCTTGAAGATTTCGTTTACAAAATATTTGGTCCTGGCAAGAAGTTGGGAGGTCTGATCCTATTCACACTCTTCCTCCTCCTCATCACCTCAAGTATTTCAATGCAGGTAGCAATACACTGTTCACCAAAAGTCAGACATGCAGTGTCATAATGGGGTACTTTTTGAATTAATGATATATTAATCTACGTTTACCAAAAAAAGAAGTTCATTTCGATTCATCCCTGCAAAAATAACAATATGTTCTCATTGCCTTACTTTATAAATTTTTGTTCTTTTTAACCAATCAGAAGCGAGAAATAATGCATCCAGTCTTTATGAGGAGAAATCAGTAATTTCTAATAGTTAATTAGTTCCATAGGTTGATTGGTTATTGGTCAATTTCGGAAACATTGATAGGAATTATTCCAACAATTTTGAAGTGTGCGAAGTTTTTGAAATAAATATCAATTGACATTTTTTTATCCTAAAACAACATTCTAATATGAGTTTGAACCTGATTTGGCAAGCTTAGCCTTGTGTCTATGACTTAAATCCATTGCTGGATCACTTACATTCAATTATTATATGCACCTTTTTCAATTCGTCCAGTTGTTCTGCAATCTGAAGGAAGATGATGGGCAAACCTTTCTTGAAAACTTTTCAACCTTTCCGTTTGCCTTTATGTCAATGTTCCAGATTTTAACCCAGGTAATTTCTATTTCAATTCTTATGTCCTGAAAAGATCTGATTATTATAGTTTTTAATGACTATGATGTACAGGAAGCATGGCCTGAAGTGATGTCTAAAACAATGCGCTTAACTCCATATCAGATAACACCACTTGTTGCTGTTTACTTCATACTATACCATCTCTTTGTAACCCTGATTGTCATGAGCTTCTTCGTAGCGGTTATTCTTGATAACCTTGAGCTGGATGAAGATGCTAAGAAGATAAAGCAGCTGAAGCTCAGAGAAGATTCATCTGATATTAAGGAAGATCTTCCGCTCCGTCTCAGAATATTTGAAAAATTTCCTGAAAGACCTCTGATGGCAAGACTTAATAAGACTCCCTCTGACTATGTAGTTCCAAAGATAAGAGAGAGTTTTCTTTCCAAGTTTTTTTACCAAACAGATGAGTTCACAGAAAAAGATGATCTTAACTATTGCATTCAGCCATCTTTAAGTGATCCAAATGTAAGGTATCGTAAAAATGCCTCTGCACACTTGATGTCCAATGTTAAACCAATGTTGAGAAATTCTAAGTTTGTGAAAAAACAAACTCTGGAGCGAATCATCCAATCTGTTCGCAGATCTGTCCGCGGGGGATCACAAATTTTCAAGCAAAGACCTGGAACCTTTAGAATTAATGAGACGATTAAGGAAAATGGACATATAGGCTTGCCACAAGCACCCATCAACAACTCTACGTCCAACCCAAATGCAACTAGAACCCAAAACCTTGATATCAAATTGATACAAGCCAAACATCAGCAGGCTGAAATGAGAAGAAATAGAAAAGAAGAGGATTTGAGAGAAAATCATCCTTACTTTGACTGTCCCTTATTTGCTGTGCCAAGGGAAAGCAAATTTCGGAAAGTGTGCAGAAGTATTGTTAATGCCCATTATGATGCTCAGCTAAGAAATGCCCAGACAGGAAAAGAACGAAAAGTAAGATTCAAAACAATGCATAAACTCCTTGGCCTAGTGTCCTACCTGGATTGGATAATGATAATTGTTACAACATTGACCACTATTTCTCAACTGTTTGAAACTCCCCATTACAGGGTGATGTCAAATACTGAATTACAGATTGCTGATTACATCTTTGTAACTGCCATGGCCATTGAGCTTACTGTAAAAATACTGGCAGAGGGCTTGATTTTTACTCCAAATGCTGTGCTTAGAGATGTAAGTGGAATGCTTGACGTCCTAATATTCAGTGTAAACTTAGTTTGGGTAGCTTGGATGCCAATGGAAGTCAAACCAAGCTCTATTGCTCAGATGTTTATGATTTTACGATGCTTCAGACCTTTAAGAATATTTATTCTTGTTCCGCACATGAGAAAGGTGGTTTCTGAGCTGTGTAAAGGTTTTAAAGAGATATTTTTGGTGGCTGTCCTGCTTATAGTTCTTATGTTTATCTTTGCAAACCTTGGAGTTCATTTGTTTGGCATGAAATTTGCTGCTTGCAACGATGCCACAATCACAAATCGAACAGAGTGTCATGGTCTATACTTTGCCAAACTATTTGTTACAAAGATGAATCTACCACTCAGGGCAGGTTCTGAACATCCTGCCCTATTGGCACCAAGAGTATGGAAAAATCCACGAAGATTTAATTTTGACAACATTGGATCTGCTATGCTGGCATTATTTGAAGTTCTTTCCTACAAAGGCTGGGTGGACCTAAGGGACGTGATTGTTGCAAAGATGGGACCAGCGTATGCTTTATACATTCATTTATATGTTTTCCTTGGCTCTATGATTGGACTTACACTGTTTGTTGGGGTCGTTATTGCAAACTATCGAGAAAACAAAGGAACAGCCCTCCTCACCGTTGACCAGATGCGATGGAGTGATCTAAAGAAAAGATTAAAAATAGCCCAACCACTTCATGTTCCTCCCAAACCAGAAAACAATGTCCTGCAAGCCTGCATTTATGATATTACTCAAAACGTTTACTTTAAAAGATGTATTGCCTTGTTGGTTCTAGTGAACTCTTTACTGCTGTGCGTCAACTGGCAAGAAGAAATCAGAGGAAATGGATATATCACTAAAGCTGCCTCTATCCTTACTAGCCTTTTTGTTATTGAAGTCTGTATGAAGCTGATCGCCTTCAGCCCTCATGGCTATCTTCACTCCTCGAGAAACAAAATAGATCTAATTGTTACTCTTCTCGGTGTAATATGGATCTTCCTTCATTATTCTTTGCAAGCCAGTAATGAAACTATTATAATATTTGGTTACTTATCAATCATTCTCAGATTTGCAACTATTACTGGCAAGCATGCTACTTTAAGCATGCTAATGCAAACAGTAGGAGTTTCAGTCTACAAGAGTTTTTTCATCATCATGGGAATGTTTACTTTGATCACCTGCTATGCTCTGATTGGAGTTATTCTCTTTGGTAATCTCAAGTATGGAGAGGCAATAAATCGTCAGGCTAACTTTAGCACGGCCGGCAGAGGCATAGTTATGCTATTCCGGATCGTGACAGGGGAGGACTGGAATAGGATTCTACATGACTGTATGCAGAAACCACCAGCTTGCACCTACAGAAGCTCTCAAAACTTTTGGGAGACAAACTGCGGAAACTTTACAGGTATTTAACACGTGAATGTTTTATGCAATTTCAAATATTATAATTTTGTTCTTTCAGGAGCGTTACTTTTCTTTTGTTCTTTTTATGTGATAATCACCTACATTGTGCTAAACCTGCTGGTAGCCATCATCATGGAGAATTTCTCCTTGTTTTATTCTAACGAAGAAGATGCTTTACTCTCCTACGCCGACATAAGGTTAATACATAAAAAAATAGGATAAAAAACATAAGCAACTCTTGATCAATAACCCCCCCCCAAAAAAAAAATACTTCTAAATGATAAAAATCTACCAATTTAACAAGAAAAATCAGCGAAAAATTGTTTTTATTTGAGAACGATGTAAAATTGGCGACTTAGCAAGCAACTGTTAAAAGATAAAATTGTTGCTAGAAACAAGACGGCTAAAAATTTAGGAATTTCCAAACTACCTGGAATCTGGTCGATGTGAGCCAGCGAGGGACTATTCCGGTCAGGCGGGTAAAGTTCATTCTCAGGTGAACATTTTTTGGATTAAATTTTCTTAACAGTTTGCAGATGAACTAGTCTTCAAGGTGCTGAAAAGATTGATACAGTGTTACGCAGAAAGGATGAGACTTCAGAGACGACTGTACGGAATTTCTCCTGTCAGTTTCCTTACATATTCATATTCAAGGCATAAGACTTATTTTAACCTTATTGAATTATATGAGTTTCAGGTCGTCTTTACAGCCTCATCTTTTGTGGGTAACTTTGTAGTTGAATTTTAATTCAAAAGAATTGAGTCTTTGCCACAAACTCGGATTTGCTAATACCTTTATCTATGCAACCCAATGTTATAGACCTTAGATATTTCAAACTGTGAATTCTGTCAGATTGAATAAGGTTTATATATTCAGGTTGCAAAGATATAGGGATTAGAAAATTAGAGTTTGTGACAAAAACTCAATTCCTTTGACAATTGTTAAATTTTTTACAGAATACAAATTTGTAACGAGAGAGGTCAGATTTAATTAATAACGATCGAGATGCAGATAAATAATTGAAATGATCGAGAGGTGCTTGAGAACTAGTTGAACTCACTGCACTGGTTCAACTAATTCTCGCTTTTTAATTAAATCCGACCTCTCTGGGTTATCAATTGTATCCTTAAAAAAATGTCATCAATTCAAAGATGTTATGTTGCAACAAATCAGTGTTACAATTAACTCAAATCAAATACAATAATATATTATATAAAAAATAAAATTCATAAAATTCTAATGACAATGCATCATTTAAATATAGAATACTTGTTTAGATTATTGAAAGGCAGACTGGAGGTTGATACACAAAAAGACAGGTTTAAACAATTTTTAAATTTAATTGATACATTTAAAAAATATAAAACAAAAATAAGCAAAAAATTCTAGAATATAAATAAATAAAACCCCCAAAAATACTTCTAATGAGAAACATTTTATTATCCTTTATATTCTAAAAGCATGGTCTTCCTATTTCACAGTTTTCTGGTTCTCACTGTAGTCCAAATAAATATTTTTTTTCTTTTCAGACTCCTTTTCAAGCATATGTGTTACGAGCTTGAACGGTTACATAACGGAGAGGACGTTACGTTTCATGATGTACTTAGCATGTTATCCTACAGATCTATAGATATTAGGTAAACTGTACTCAGCATGTTATCCTACAGATCTATAGATATTAGGTAAACTGTACTCAGCATGTTATCCTACAGATCTATAGATATTAGGTAAACTGTACTCAGCATGTTAACCTACAGATCTATAAATATTAGGTAAACTGTACTCAGCATGATATCCTACAGATCTATAGATATTAGGTAAACTGTACTCAGCATGTTATCCTACAGATCTATAGATATTAGGTAAACTGTACTCAGCATGTTATCCTACAGATCTATAGATATTAGGTAAACTGTACTCAGCATGTTATCCTACAGATCTATAGATATTAGGTAAACTGTACTCAGCATATTATCCTACAGATCAATATCTATTAGGTAAACTGTACTCAGCATATTATCCTACAGATCTATAGATACTAGGTAAACTGTACTCAGCATGTTATCCTACAGATCTATAGATATTAGGTAAACTGTACTCAGCATGATATCCTATAGATCTACAGATATTAGGTAAACTGTACTCAGCATGTTATCCTACAGATCTATATATATTAGGTAAACTGTACTCAGCATGATATCCTACAGATCTACAGATATTAGGTAAACTGTACTCAGCATGATATCCTACAGATCTATATATATTAGGTAAACTGGGCTTTGAAATCTATATATAAATTTAGCTTGTTTGGGTGTCTGTTAGTTTGTTTGTATCCAATAAACGTCAACACGGCTGAACCGATCCACCCCAAATTTTGTGTGGGACCTCACGTGTCCCAAGGGATTTGAAATTTGTAAAACAATTTTATCTTTTCCACAAGCTAAGATAATATAATCTCTATATCTAAAATGATCTGTATTGGTACGTTTTTCCTTTTTTCTTTTGGTTAAAAAGTTGCAAAATGTAATAATGTAATAAAGTTAAATTGAGTCTTAGCTACAAACTCTAATTTTCCTATCCCTACATCTTTGCAACCCAATGTCCTAGACCTTAGATATTTCTAACTAGTAATTCTGTTGGATCAAGTAATACAAGTTTGAAATAGCAATGCTTCACTCCGTCAGGTTGCAAAGTTCTAGAGATTAGAAAACTTTGAGTTTGTGGCAAAGACTCAATTCCACTAATTTTGTTATGAACTGCAGTTGTAGGTAAAAATATGAAAACCCTATTCACAAAATAAATATGTATTTTAGAAAAGCACTACAACTTGAAGAATTGTTAGCAAGAGAAGAATTAGAATATATAATTGAAGAAGAAGTTGCGAAGCTTACAATTAGGTAGGTTTTAAACGAGATTTTAATTTTGAGGTAATATTGCAGTGATAACCAGAAAACTTTGAAATAGGAAGACGACTTTTAAACTCAAGTTATGACGTTAAATAGTCCAGTAAGCATGGGACACAATTTCAACATTTTGTCCAGTGTAAACAGACACATTTAGTTTAAGAAGTGATTTAATAAGTGTCTTATACAGTGATAACCAGAAAACTTTGGAATAGGAAGACGACTTTTAGACTAAATTTATGAATTTAAATAGGCCAATAGGAATGGGATACGGCAATTGTTCAGTGTAAATAGACCCATTTTACTAAATAAGTGATTTAATAAGTGTCTAGTAAAACTATTTGCTTTGTAACAACATCAAATACGCTAAAGTATTTCAGAGTTCTTCTGGTTATCACTGTAGTAAATATATTTTCTTTGTAACATCATCAAATACCCACTTCAGTATTGCTGTACACAGCCGGCTTACTTTCCCAGAGTTATAACTTTATCCCGACTCTTCTTTTAAATTTTCCTTATACAATTTTTCACAATTTTATTTTAATTAAAAAGTTACCAATTCTGTTTTGACTTTATCCTGCAAATTCCATAGGAGATGGTTAGACGGCTGCTTGAAGAGAATCAGAGAGAGAGAACAAACTTTACTGGCTGGTCTTAGGTAAATTCTAAATTTTCTTGACATCGTACAGTTTAGCCCATCAGAAGTATTACTTCGTAGACACGGAAAGAATTTAATGTCGTTTTCTAAACCTACTGATAATAGAATCCTGCAGATATTTTCCATTTTTATAAAAACTATTACCACATATTTCATGGCTATTTGTATATTTTAACAATGACTGCGATTTAGGTATAACATTTAGGTATAACAGTATAAACCCAAATAGATTGCGAAGTACTTGACAATTTATTTGGTATAAACCCATTGAAAAATTGTCAAGACGATATTTTATAAATTATTTTGATATCTCCGAAGTTCTGCTCTGAAGTTTTTTCACATTGAGAATTTATTGCAAATTTTGTGAAAACGAAATCAAGAGACTATTTTCCATTCCTTTCTTTAAAGAAAAACTTGTTAAAAATTAAATTATCTAAAATATTTTATTGTAGGTTAATGAATGAGCCTACGGTTTCTAGCCTTAAACCCGTTAGGTAATTAAATATTAACATACAATATCAAGTTTCTCCGATTTTTTAAAAAATGTTTATTAAATACCTAACAAAAAATGTACACAACAATCTTCGACCTTCAACAATAAATATAGTGAAGCATGGTTAACAGGGTGTCCCGTGAAACATGACAGTTACAAAATGACTTAGAGGTCTTCGTTAATCTTTCAAATAATTCACGGCATTTAGAAGTAAAATTCTAGAGTTAATAGTCACTAAATACTCTTTATCTTGGCATTACCCATAGTGGTCTCTCTTTTTGTGCTTTTAATATAACCTGAGAATGAGATATAGATTTCGGCCATTTCGGGTTTATTTAATAAAATTGAAATCTGAACAAAATTCTCGATATCTCCACTAATATTGAGAGCACAAGAAAGGCAGACCACATTTTGGACAACCCAGTACTGGGAGAATTCTGTGGTGATTGTTTCAAGAACTATACAATAAGATTGACGATCGAATGTGTCAAATAAATTCTAAAATCAAAGACGACTTTCAAATTGACTTAGTACTGTCCTGTTTCGTTGGACACCCTGTATTTGATTTGAACTTGTTAGTGAGGATATGGAAGACGAGCAGACCCAAGAAAATGCTGAAGAACCTAGAGAGGAAACTATCCAAGAGAGAACTGACGAGGTATTTTATACAAACAGAGATTCTCTCTTCTGATCTGAAGAATTGAATCTTTGCCATAAACTCAAGTTTTCGAATCCCTTTTTCTTTGCAACCTGAGGGTGCAAACCTTTGATATTATAAACTAAGATTATTTTATCTAACACATATCATAGTTTGAAATATTTAAGGTCTATGACATCGACTTGCAAAGATACAGTAATTTCGTGACAAAGACTCAATTCCTTAAGTTTGCTTTTATTAGTTAATAAACAAATTTTTTTAACCAAAACCAATTTTTAAAACGATTTTTAATAAACGATTTTGCTAAAAGTGTTGGTTACATTTTTCGTTGTCGTTCTTGAAAAACAAATAAAAACAATTTTCAAAATGTATTCTCCATAATGTAAAATTGATTTAGTGCTTTTACTTCGCAATTATATTGACTGAAAAAGACTTATTATTATCTAATGAAGTTTAAAATTGGTCTCTTAACTATCATGGTCAACCGGAGTCTCCCTTTCATCAATGGACCTCAAATCGATGCCCACACAAAACAAAAGACATTTTCTCTTTACCCCTAGGTGGTCCCTGTAACCCGAACTGATAGTGTGAATAGTGCTAGTAGAAGATATTTAAACCCCCCAGCAAACCTACCANAACTGTTGAATCTCTAAAAGTGGCCAAAGACTGGATATTTACACAAGATATAAAAGTGAATATTATAGATCACAACATAAAATATTTCTAGAATTAATAAAAATGGGATAAACCAAGAATAATGCAATGGGCTGCTGTGCTTCAGCTAGTAATCAGGTATATATGTGCACTTTTCTACAAAGTCGGCGTTTATATCAATACAATGAAGACGACCTTTTTAATTTAGGTTTCCATTGTTACAAGCTTTTTCCAATTACAAGTTAACAAGTTATTAAAGAGAAGCTTTTTGAATTGACGGCTTTTCAAATCCGGATTTCGGTATTTTTACACGCCAAGGAGTGAATTACGACCAATATTAAACATGTTTAAAATTTTTTTAAAACGTACTTACTTCTTCAGGATTACCGTAAGGAGTGAATTATGAATTATTAAACATGTTAAAAGTTTTTTTTTAACTTCTTAATGTATTTGAAAATGACGGAGATATTACTATTTAGTTAGATTTAAATAACTAAATTGGAATCTGTGAAACCAATCTCCTGATATTTCAGTCAATTTGAAGGTTAAAAACGGCAGACCACAATGATTATTAATGTTTTATATGTAGGTTGCTTAGTATAACGCAATATAAAATTCGCAACACACTTAATATGTGATTTTTGGGACACACCATCTGAATATAAAAATGAAATTTTTTGTCGCAATGTTTAAAATGCTGTCTGGTCTTTTTCACAGTTGACATGAAATCTTAAAGGGACTGTAAGCTAAACTTCCAGTGACCCTCCAAGCAAAGATAGCCGTGCTCGATTTACATCCTTGAAACCTTAATCTGATAAAAACTGTGGAAGATAACAACGATTTTATGACTCGACAAATTTTGTGATAATAATAATCTCTCTTTTACAAGAAATGCGAAAGTAATCTTTAAAGTGAAACCGCAAATAAAAATTAAGGTTTTATGAATAAAAACATGGATATTTAATTCATACTTGATCAGGCAAAGCTTTTAAGGTACTATTGTAAATCGGGCATTGCCATCTTTGCATAGAGGGTCACTTGAAATTAAGCTTACAGTCCCTTGAAGAACAGAGATAACTTCTCATGTTTGAGGAGAACTAGAAGTCGGGGGGATGAAGTGATCTCTCCAGGGACTGCTAGAAGTAGTGTGTGTGAGGGAACGACAGGATGGAGAGCAGCAGGAACTGTGCAAGAGGTTAGCTCCTATAGAGCTCATAGAGCACTTGCCCTTTAGTTCCTCCGGGCATTAACACTACGTAAATTTTATCCCTGCCAGTAAACATGCAAAAACGACCCAAAAAACGAAAAACGGTTTTTTCATTGTTTTATGATGAAGATATTGCAAAGTTTAACAAAAGCAAACTTAAAATATACAGATTTGAAATCTTGAAAGTTAAATTAAACTTTTTCTAAGAACCAAAACAATTCACAGCATAACTAAAATGTATTTGTAAAATTTACTTAAAGCTGCTAAAAATGCAAAACTAATGGAGCGGAACCTTTCGTAAACAAACTAAGAATACATGATGCTACACAATTGGTCGATTCATTGGTAGTTTGGTGAAGAATGGTTCTGACTTTTATCTTTTTATTTTTATTTGTTTTGCATTTTCAACATCTTGTTGAAAGGTTTCGTATGACATTTTACGGAACCAATTTGATGCAATAAACTATGGTAACCCATATGTTAGATTCAGTCCTTAGGATCCGGATCCGCAAGATTTTGGCTTCCTGGATCCGGATAAAAATATGCGGATCCACAGAAATATCAACCAAAAACTGAAAAAAACTGTTTTACTCTCAAAACCTCATTCAAACTATTAAAAAAGGAAGATTGTAAAAATTTCCTGATTTCTGAATAGTTTTCAAGTTTTAGAATAAAAAAAAACGAAAAAAGATTTAAAAATGCGAAAATTCTGCTTTGTTAAAAAATTTAGTAAATTTCAAAAAAAATTACCTTGCTCCGGATCCATATTTTCCTGCGCGGATCCGGATCAAAATTAAATGGATCATAAGCACTGGTTTGATTAATTTAACATCTCATATTTTCCAAGAAGTGGTGTTTTTTTATTTTTCAATTTGGTATCAAACAACTTAGAAAATTATGGAAGAAGACATTTTAAACTATTCACCAACTGTCATGTACATTGTACAATGACGGACATCATAGCTACATTCTGCCTTTATTTCAACTTTTTTATTTATCTAAGAGCTTCAAATTTTAACAACCTAAACAATTTAATTGAATATAAAATAACAACACAACTACATCACCTGGCATAAGAGCATAATGTATCTGCCCACATTTTTACAATCGTTGTATATATCAATACAATAAGGATGACTTTCGACCTTAATTTTTTATTTCTACCAAGCTTTCAAACAGTATATGGATACACATAAAAGAGATGCCGTCAATTAACAGCCTCTCTTCGTTTACCCGTAAACTTGAAAAGAGCTTGTTAACAATCAAAACTTTAAAAAGTCGTCTTTTTTGTATTGATATAAATGGCCACCACTGTATTAACGTCATTTACGGTTATAGGTTCATGATTGGTGGCTACGACAACTCGAGATAGATTCAGACGCAGATAGTGATTAGAACAAGGAACTTATTTATTTTATTGTAAATAAATCAGGGATTTGAAAAATAAGTGATATCAAAATTTCTAAAAAAAAATATAAATTAAAAGCTACGCTTTACTTCGTACATTTAGGTCATATATCGTTTAAATGTTGCTTTTAGACAAAATCTCACTTTTTAAGAAATGTTATATCTTCAAATTATAGTTTGTGTGTTTATAAAATAAATTTATTTCATCAGATATAATCTTTTTATTTGATAAAATTGGTTGAGAAAAAAAATTTATTCAGATCAATTTGGTTTTGGAACCAGTTTCCTGAAGCTGTTATAAATGATAGACCAGTAAAAACTTTTGGAAATTAAGAGCGAAACCTTTTCACACTGAATTAGGAATAAACCCATAGCTGCTACACAGGTGTAACATGCTAACAGTTGACGGGAATTTATTCGGAACAATCGTAGTCTAAATTTTTTAATCATGTCACAACTAGCTCAGTTATGCAGTTCGGATGAAGATGTACTTAGAAAAGGTTTTTTTATGGTGTATCATTTATAGCAGCTTTATGCAGGAAGGGTACATTAAGGCCGTTACGGAACCAAATAGATTCAAAAGAAATTGAAAACTGGATATAAAACTGATATACAACTAGATATAAAACTGGATATGAAACTGATATACAACTAGATATAAAACTGATATAAACTAGATATAAAACTGATATAAAACTAGATATAAAATTGTATATAGAACTGGATATAGAACTGGATATAAAACTAGATAAAAACTAGATATACAACTGTAAATAAAACTGGATATATTACTTTACACCAGCTGGAATGAGATGGTTTAAGACGCATTACCAGCAAAATTAAGTTATAAACTGGTGCCTAAATATTAATAAGTGCTCTAAACTAATAAATAAAACTAACTTAAAGGTATTGTTTAAGATATATTTCCCAAAAAATAACATAAAACAAAAAAATGTTATTACATAACCACAAAATCCCTAAACCCACTCTACTCTGTGATGTAAAGTACAGGATGCTTCTCAAGTTTGCTCTTGAACTCCTGGATATCCTTGATACTGTGCTTGTTATTCTTAAACAAAAATTTATCAGTAAAACAATGAATAATAAACCAAACAATTTTTTTATATGGGACTAGGCGTAACTTCAAGTAACCCTCAAATGAAAGAGAGCAATGCCCGATTTACAACAGTAACCTTTTAACCTTTGACAGTTTGTTGAGTAATGAGAGCTCTTTGTTTTAATATCTTGAAAACCACTTGAATCCCTCTAAAATGCCGTGTACGTTTGTACAGTTTAATCTCAACACAGCTGATGCGCTGCTTGAATCCCTCTAAAATGCCGTGTGCGTTTGTACAGTTTGATCTCAACACAGCTAATGCGCTGCTTGTGTAACTTAACTTTATCTAATATTTTACATTAAAAACGGATTCCAAAAATTCGAAAGAAAATAATAATTTTCTGCGAATTCTAAAAAGAGATTACAAATTTTTTTCAAAACTTAAAACAGCTTGCAAACATAGCGTTCAACAATTGAACATGTTCTAGTAGATTAATAAGAAAAAGTCCGACAAAGGGCAGTCAAAGCTTTTAAGGGTGCTTTGTGAATCAGACATAGCCGTCTCTGCATGGAGGGTCACTTGAAATTAAGCTTACAGTCCCTTTAATGGTACCTTGAGCAGATTTAGATTGAAAACTTTCTCTTCCTTATCTTCCTTCTCGTCTACTCCATCCTAGAATATTTAACCATTAACAAATGAAACCAAAATATAAAGATGGTATTAGGAAATTTGATATTCGTATGAAGTTTATTTAAATTATATTTTATTGTGTTTAACAATATAAATCTAATCTACAGGGTTACCCACAAAGGATGAGACTTCAGAGACGACAGAACAGAATGTTTACTGTCTGCTTCCTATATTAATGATTCCCTGCAACTTTAAATTTTATATATTCTCTGTCAAATCATTTAATAATAATCCCTAAGAGTATATTCTATACGGTTGGCAGAGTATCTAAGGTAGCCTTTGAATCGTAAAGACGACCTAAAACATAAATAGTTTAAGGTCGTCTTTCCAGTCTCGTCCTTAGTGGGTAACCTTTTATATGTAGCTTGTATCTTTCAATGAATTCTTTAGTTCCAATCGATTCATTTCACCATTACAAATATTACCTAGGAGCTTCATAAATTTTAACATTGAAAACACTTGTCCCTCCATTTACTTTCTTTTACAGTTTACAAGGTTTGATATTGGTTAATAGATTTGATAAATTTACACTTCTGAAACCGCATTTAAATGTGGAAATATTATCAACATTCATGCTATTCCCTTTACCAAGGATATAAACACAAAGCTAATTAGTAATGAATATCCAAACATCCACACATTACAATGATAGCTAGAAAATAATTATATAGGAATACGACATTATAGAAATACTTTAGTGTATTTGATGTTGTTACAACGCAAATAGTTTTACTTGACACTTATCAAATCACTATATAAGTAAAATGGGTCGGTTTAAACTGCACAATGGCTGTGACCAAGGCTCATTGGACTTTTCAAAGTTATAACTTGATTCTAAAAGTGGTCTTCATATTCCAGAGATTTCTGTTCATCACTGTACCTACCTTGTATCCAAGAATATGCACACTAAGCTTTCTACAGGATGTAGAAGTAGAGAGCATGGGTTTAAAATATTCAACAACGTCTTCAACTTTTATCTCAGCCAAGGAAACAACCTCCTTCTCATATCTAAAAGTTTACCTTACATAAATATATTTTAGATGTTAGGTACATTTCCGAAGGTTTTTCCCTAGCCGCAACTTCCCAAAAGTATTTTCCCAAATGTGATTCCCAAGTCTGTCTGTACTGCAGCGCTCGGCCCCTTACCCCATCCTAGCCGTAGCACACGGCCCCCAATGCAGCCTGCGGCGCTTTTAAGGTCTAGGAAATTTGAAAAAGCCTCATGGCAGTTTATAAAGAGAACTAGTGAAAATACAACAGTTTACTTACATTTACAAAAACTAAGCAGATGGGGGTCAACTTTATGCGTGATTATTGGTACGACTTTGTGACATCGTTATGGAGAAATATTAGAGAAGCAAATTTATTTCTTTTAAATATAAAAAGTTCAAAAAATTTATGTTCATCATAATATCAATCTCTTCAATAAAAGGATTTATGACTGAAAACATAAGATTTCAATCCTTCATGCAATTTACTCTAGTTAATCGTTTAACCTGTTGAATAAATATTCTTTGCTAACAATTTCATTCCAGTTTCTAGAAACCTCTTCCTCTAGGGTTACGTCAGCCCGAACCTACATAAAACACAATATTTAAATACATAAACATAAACCTCTTCCTCTAGGGTTACGTCAGCTCGAACCTACATGAAACACAATATTTAAATACATAAACATAAACCTCTTCCTCTAGAGTAACATCAGCCCGAACCTACATAAAACACAATATTTAAATACATGAACATAAACCTCTTCCTCTAGAGATACGTCAGCCCGAACCTACATAAAACACAATATTTAAATACATAAACATAAACCTCTTCCTCTAGAGATACATCAGCCCGGACATACATAACACACAATATTTAAATACATAAACATAAACCTCTTCCTCTAGAGATACATCAGCCCGGACCTACATAACACACAATATTTAAATACATAAAAATAAACCTCTTCCTCTAGAGATACGTCAGCCCGAACCTACATAAAACACAATATTTAAATATATAAACATAAACCTCTTCCTCTAGAGTAACATCAGCCCAAACCTACATAACACACAATATTTATATACATAAACATAAACCTCTTCCTCTAGAGTTACGTCAGCCCGAACCTACATAAAACACATAATTGAAATCGCACTTATCAGTCATAGAAGACAAAACATGAAGAATCCTCTTTTAGAAAAGTTTTAGTGATATACTTTTTGCGCAACATTGCGATTAAAAATAAAAACTAGTTTGCTGTCCAATTTTTATCTATAGGTCATTGAATTAAGTAATCCTAGTTTTAATATAGTTGCGCACATTAAATGTTTTATTATGGAAATGCACTTTACTCTACATAAAACAATCATAAGTTAAAACAAAGTTCTTTGTTTTTTAACTATAATAATGATACAATAAGAAAAAGTAAAATAAGGTGAATTAAACGGCGGGATAAAACAATTAGTTTAGGGATGGTCCTGTCTCAGATGGTACCGTGGAAGGTGTCTCTGTGGCGGCTCTGGTCAAACCCATTCTCCTTACTGAGAAATTTCTGTATAACCCAAAAACTGTCAAATATTTTTTAAATATTTTTACGGATTTTTTTTGATTTTACGGAAGCTCTATTGTCACTATACCTTAAGCTTTGCAAGACTGTTGGCTGCATAAAGAACTTTCTCCTCATGAAGATGGTTTAGGACGAATTGATCGAGGAAATTTTCAATTCTCTCATCAACATGCTCTGCAGTATACTTGGTAGCCTAAATCACGATACTGATGAAAAATACAAATTTTTTTTGTCAAATAAAAAATTGTTCACAAGTATTTCATTTTGTACACAAAAAAATTATGATAGGATATCCGTATTTAACATATTTATGATTTCAGCAACAACATTATCAATTAGCCAAAAAAGTACGTATTTATTGTCAATTAGATTTTTTATGGCTTCTTTATCACCTGTGTATTAACAGTTATACTGAATCCTAGAACCCCGTGGGTATTTCTGAAATATAATCAATTCATTTTACTAAATACCTAAGTTTATTAAATACAATTTATCCTTTTATGATTTATTAAATACAGTATATCCTTGTATACCTAAGTTTATTAAATACAATTTATCCTTTTATAATTTATTAAATACAGTATATCCTTGTATACCTAAGTTTATTAAATACAATTTATCNTTATTATTATTATTATTATTATTATTATTATTATTATTATTATTATATAATTTATTAAATACAGTATAAATCCTTGTATACCTAAAGTGTATTGAATACAGTATCCTTTTACACCTTAGTGTATTGAATACAGTATCCTTGTATACCTAAGTGTATTGAATACAGTAAATCATTGTTTACTTAAGTGTATTGAATACAGTATATCCTAGTATACCTTAGTGTATTAAATACAGAATCCTTTTATACCTTAGTGTATTGAATACAGTATATATCCTTGTATACCTAATGTATAGAATACAGTATCCTTGTATACCTGAGTGTATTGAATACAGTATCCTTGTATACCTGAGTGTATTGAATACAGTATATCCCAGCTGCTCTTGAGTTCTTAATGTATCGAATACTGGCTCTTCCATTAGCATTGTAATAACCTAGATTACAAACTTAATTGATAAGGGTAGACGTCGCCTCGTTTTGTCACTGTGCTCCAAAACGACCGAAAACGTCGACCTCAAGTGACTTTAAAAATGTAGGTAATGACGCTAGCATATAGATTGTAGAATGTGCATTTTTTTGCTGAGCTTAACTTTACAACTTAAAGAATAAATTCCGAATTTAAATGTTAATGATTTGCATGGCAGTTCTTTCAATCTCCATGTATATTGTATATTGTATATTGAATATGGATCTGATCTGGCAACTTTTGTGTTGGGTAGTCTTAGTCCCGATCACTTGTTCTCAATATCCACTGCGGGAACTTTTAACTTGAGGATTAATGCTTAATCTCTTCTTTTCATCTTATCTTCTAGGGTACAATAAAGAATATAGAATAAATTAATCTGCAGATTTACAAAAGATCGAGTATTTATCTCGATATCCAGATTACAAAAGTTCCCAGATCAGGAGAGATTGAAATCATCTTAAAAATAAATGAATTCTACATTGCAAGTATTTGCAGTTTGCAGTCTAGTGTACCTCAAGTATAGCATGGTCTCTAATAGAACCAGGTCCAGCCTGGTAATAATTAGTAACCAAGGTGTTGGTGTCACATTTATTAAATCCTTCCACCTAAACAGCAAACATAATTTATTTTACAAAAAAAATCATTTGAAAATCCTTTATTTTCCCCATAAGTTATGTATGCTTTTTTATGGTGTAATTCGCTATATTGGAAAAATTAATCATTTCAAGGCAAAAAAATGATTTTTTGGGGTAAAAGTATCAAAAAGAATGAAAACATTTTCATTTTGATGTCCAATTTTGCATTCCCCCCCCCCATATTTTCAAATATCATTTCAAGAAGGTATTAGAGAAATGCCATTTTTAGAAGGCAATTAAAATTTAATAATGTACATTTTTTGATAATAACCCATCAGGGTATCACTAAATCAAGATGTAAACAGCAAAGGAATCTTGTTCGTAAATATTTCATTTTTTAAAATCTGGACAATTGAGATTTGTGAAAAATGAAGAAAGTGTGTTCCCTCCAAGATCTTTAAACATCTGAGTTCAGTACTAGCGGACTCATGAATTTAGTTACCTGAAGAAAGTGTGTTCCCTCCAGGATCTTTAAACATCTTAGTTCTGTACTAGCGGACTCATTAATTTAGTTACCTGAAGAAAGTGTGTTCCCTCCAGGATCTTTAAACATCTGAGTTCATAAATATCTGTTGAAAAGGATACAATATAAACAGTGAATTGAGCATTCTACTTTGCAAGCCTGAATACTTAAAAACCATGTTGGAATTTAATCTCTTTTATAAACTTTGCTTATATTTGACATAAAAAATCTAAATCTAGATCTAGCTTTCAACATTTGTCACGACTCGTTTGAACCACAATCATTTAATTTTAAAACTTTTCAGTTCGTTTTAAGTAATCAAAATCTAGTTCTAATTTTCCACGCTTGTCAACTCTAGCTATACACAAAAAAGTTGTAATTGAAACATATTATAATTTTTAACCAATGGCAACCCATTGTTCTAGCTCATAATTAAACTTAATTATTCTCTTGAATATCCTCCATAGCTTTCATTAGCTCTAGATAACATTCGCTCTGCTATATATTCCTAGGAATGCATACAAGAGACAAAGCAAACCATCGGCGGGCCCTTTTCATTCATATTTACCATAATGATGATCCTTAATGAATGAATGGGTGCCATAAATGCTTGCAAAGCTCAAACTTGGTCGGGTTGCTGGGATTTCATCAACAAATATTGCATTTTAACCTTTAACTAGATACATTGCAAAGGTCAGAATTGAGTTCATATCCGGGCTGAAAACCATTTCTCATTCAGGAATTGAAACTCTAGGCTGAGATATGAAGCCTAAAGCTTCCCCAACATTCATGATTTGATTTGATTTGATTTGCTTGTCTGTCTGTTTGTGTGTGACCGGTAAAAGGCAAAACGGCTAAACCGATCGAGCCCAAATTTTGTGTGGGACCTCAGGTGACACCATGAAAGAGTAATGGAACATCAAAATTAAAAACAAATCTTGGAAAATAGTAATCTTTTATTAAAATGCGCCAATTCGAAAAGAAAATAATTCAATATGGCTGACTTTGAGAGCAACAGTAAAAAGGTAAAAATATTTCCAGCTTAGTTGTTTACCTGAATAAGACCTTGTAGAAAGTTTTGAGACAAGAATATCCTTGAGAATGTCTTCAGTTGATCTAGGGTTACTTTCCTTACCCTGTTATACTTATCATGGGGACTCCAGTAGACATCCTGTACAAATATATTTAAATATTTACACTTTGTCCCACAGAACTTACAAATATATTTAAATATTTACACTTTGTCCCACAGAACTTACAAATATATTTATATAAGTCTGACATCTCTAACTAATTTACTAGGTTTGATAGAATGATTATAATAATTCTTCCTCTGTTGTTCTAATACAGCCTAGAAAAGTATGTATGTAAATATAACATAAAGATGGAGAAATAAATATTTGCTTTTGCATGAAAAACTTACGTTAAACAAGGATTCCTGGATGGTATCGCTCATAGCTGTTAAATGTTTAAGGATTGTTTCCATCAATCTAAAATATCAAGGTTAAAACGTGTGGGAAGCATTAACTTCTCTACAGGGAAGTTAAGGGAAGTTTATTTTACCAAGGGTGGAGATAAAAAGTTCAGTGGTTTAGTAAAATTTGTTATTTTCCCAAAAAAGTAAATTTTTTTTTATCGTCTTATGGGATGAAAATCGCAAATTTACTCTCAAATACCTCACATTGCGGTTTTTTTTTTAAAACAACTGACCCAAGGGACGTTAAGTAATTTAACCTCCCTCTGTTGGGGATACCAAAGGACGGTAATGTTGGTGAAAAGGCGGTAAAAGGTATTACCTTGGTAATTTATCCGATAGTCCTGAAACCTTGATCACCAATCCTAGTTAACATACAAGTTAAAAATGGCCAGTTTTCCATATTTTAAGCTTTTGTCAAACAATGTAAAATATTTTCTTGGGGGACGGTTGAGCAAAGCGCTCAAAATCATTCTTAGTCTAAATATATATAAAAAGAATGGGGAAAAGAAAATAGATGAACCCCAAAAATTAAAAATTTAAATAACACAATTTAAGGAAATAACTTGGTTCCCTGTTTCTGAAGCATACAAAGAAAAGTTGAGCTGGGCCAGGTCAGCGGGATACACATCTTCAACCATCAGCTGGAGGACACAGTTAGCAAGCAGATCCAGCATTATACTGTTCTCTATATATAACATTATGTTAGAACTGCAGGACACAGTTAGCTAGCAGGTCTAGCATTATACTGTTCTCTATATATAACATTATGTTAGAACTGCAGGATACAGTTAGCCAGCAGGTCTAGCATTATACTGTTCTCTATATATAACATTATGTTAGAACTGCAGGATACAGTTACCCATCAGGTCTAGCAACTGTTCTCTAGAATAAAGCGCTGCGCCAATCGTTCTTGTCATAATCTTAGCGTTTACTGCTGCAGCAGCAAAACTTTCTTTTGTTTCAAATATTACCGTTTTTTCAGCAGACTCTTCTCTTGATTCTTGATGTAATTGCCGGATTTTTGTTGTTGAAAAATCGATATTCTTTTGATGAAAAACTTTTTTAATTTATAAACATTTCCTTGGGCCATTTAAGTGAGTGACAAACAAAAAATTGGGATTTTGTTGGCGTCAAGCAAGCAGACAAGCCAAATATATTCACTTTTCAGTGGTCGGCGTTTATATCAACATAATGAAGACGACTTTTCTATTTAATTTTTTTGTTAACATGCTGTAAGTTTAAAGTAAACAAAGAGAAGCTGTTAATTGAGAGCTTATCTTTGTTTCCATGTTTATGTGCCTGTTGTATGAATCAAAATTTAAAACGAAAGTCGTCTTCATTATATTGATATATACGACTGATCAAAAATATGAATTTATGGTATAACTAACCTAGACATTGTAGCTGAAGATGAGATCTGATATGATATTGAATATATGCTCGAGGCTGAAGAAAACTTTCATCTTTCTTATAGAACAGTTCTCCTAACTCATCCTCTACCAGACGAACAGGGTACATAGATCCTTCTATATCTGCAGATCTATTTGAAACACAAATATGAGGGACAAGTTTGGTTTCACTTTATGTACAATTGTACATTGTACAAGGGTGACACATGAAAAGTGAAAGTCAGAAAATCAAAAGGTGCATAGGTTCTATGGGTTATGTCAACTCTTAAAATTAAAATACAAAAAAAGAGTTTGCTCTTACTTGGTGAATTTAGGTGAAAGTAGTTTCAGCAAATAATCTCGGTTTTTGGTTAAGAGTAAGGGGGAGGAGCAGTTCGAAACTTAGGGACACCAAATTCAGTACAAGCTGCATTTGGATCTAAAAATTAAGAAAAAGGCTGAATATTTGTATACAGCCTCCAGTCGTGGTCCTCTAACCGGATCACAAAGAAAATTAGGGATCAGAGGTTATTGACCTCCATCAAAAATCCAAATTTTGAAATGCAATGCTCCGATCAACATAAAATTATCACAAAATGCTCATAGGACAAAGAACCATAGAACCTATGCACCCAAATTTTGTTTCACCTCCTTCGTGTGTCAACCTATATTAATATATTAATGAACATGGCCAGAAAAATGTTATTTAACATTTTCGATATTCGAATACTTCAGTTTTCTAGATAGATTCCAAATTTTTTTGAATAAAAAAAAACAAAAGGGAACAGAATAGTACACAGCATTTATAACATTTAATCCATAAATTCTTTTAGAGGAACATAAGAAGGAACTGTTTATACTTGCTTATGGTTGTACTACAGTGAAAGGCGACTTTATCAATACAACGAAGACGACTTTTTTAAAAGTTTTGAATGTTATCAAGCTTTTCTCGAAATACAAGTTTACAACTAATCAAAGAGAAGCTTTTTAAACTGACAGCTTCTCTCTATTTCCATGTGTTATTAGTATCCAACCATGCTGTTTAAAATCTTGATATAATTAAAAATCAGAAGTCTTCTACACTGTATTGATATGCGACGACGACTGTATGTAAAAAGTCGTGAGTGAATTTGTGTTTCCTGATGGAAAGGTCTTCTGCAATAAAAAGATTGGGCTCTGGAAGATGAAATTCAGAGCTGTAAACGTGGTCCTAAACAGTTACTGATTAACGAGATTTTACATGTGTCTAAAAAAATGTGTTTTCGAAATCAAAACAAAAAAAGCAATATTTCAAATCTTTAAACACATATGACTTAAAACAAACTTTAAGAACACAGAAACGGAGAGGTTATAATTAATTACAGCTACATTACAGGGAAGTTAATGTTTTGTGAGCAAAATTGGTTTTGGGTAATGGGTCCCCTTGGTAAATAAAATTTTTAATTTCCCGAAAAATTGTAATACACAATCGTCCTTTAAGATGCAAATGCGTGATTTTTTTCTGAAAAACTTAGCAGCGCCACCCCATTCACACAACCTATATCTAGGTTCCGTTCATGGCTGCACTATCTCTCCTGATCTCCTCTGGAGTCCTCCAGGATGGCACTGCTATATGTCTGATACTTTGTGATTTTTATTATGTCCTTGTCTATCTTTCTTTACCATGTCATATCTCTAGCAGAGTCCTTTTTCCAGATACTGATGTACCGAAGACCTTAAGGCCTTTCCGTGTTTACTTCGTATACAAGTCTGAATCTCGTCTCTTCTCGTCCTTCTCGAAACCCCAGAGGACTGATCCGAAAGCGCACCTGTTCCTGTTGCTTGTGCGGTACCAGGTGGTACCTCTCCTTGCTGATCTCCCTGCTCCTCACCTAGACGAGACCGCGCGCCCAAACGCGCTCGGACTGAACTAGGAGGACTTACTCTAGCTGAGCAGAAACCCAAGGTGTGTATTCTTACGCAGAGCGGGTCTTTACTTTACTAATTGTTTCAAGGAACGTTATTTAACAGAACAACCCTCTATTGGTGATATCATGTCGGTAATGTTGGTCGAAACGCGGTATAATTATTTAGAACTAATTCACCCATAGCTATTAAATATTTAAGGATTGTTTCCATCAATCTAAAATATCAAGGTGTGGGAAGCGTTAACTACTTTACAAGGAGGTTAAGGGAAGTTTATTTTACCAAGGGTTCCCAAGATCAAAAGTTTAGTGGTTTTTGTTTTTGTTTCCCTGAAAATGTAGCTAAGCACAATTTTATCGTCTTTAGAGATAAAAATGCGCGATTTTTTTCGCGAAAACTTCGCAGAGCGGGTGTTTTTTTTTTACATAACTGTCCCACGGGACGTTAAATAACCTAACCTCCCTCTGTTGGGGGAATCATAGGTCAATAATGTTGGTCAAAGGCGGTAAAATAATTAAAAATTAAAAACTGAATTTGTTTTATGAGCACACATGATGTCCTAACCTTGCAGGCGAGGATCCAGGCCGAAGGAATTTCAGATTCCGAATATTTAGTGTTAAACCAAGGTTCAACTTGATCCAACTCAGATTCAGATATATCACAAGTTTTCACAAATATGTTCACACTCTCCACTACTGGAAAACATAGTGCGAATTAATGGGAGTGTCTGGCTAGACATGGTAGTTGAGCTCCAACATTTTTAAAGATTGAATTTGCGCACTTGCTGAACAAATATGCACCGTAAAAAAGTCTGAAAGTTCTCAAACAAATGCTTTACAATACTACATTCTCAGCTCAAATACCATCTCTAGCCAGACACTCCCTTTAAACCAATAATCTAACACTGCAAACTAGACAGAAGGAAAAGGTCAAATTTAAGCAATATTATTAGTACGACTTTGTGACATCGTAGCTCCTTTAATTTTGATCTTTGTTCTTCTCAATTACAAAGATGAGTTAGAATTAAAACTGATAAGATTTCAATTTACTTTGTTTCACGTGCTAAATTAACCGATCTAAATCTGAACGTCAAAAGTCAGAACCCCGGGGATTTCAATCAATTAATTAATTAATTAATTCAAGAAATTTGTTAGTCGACACAATAATGCATGTAAGAAATTGATATAGATTTCCCAAACAGGGATAAAAGATCACCAAAATTATTTTAAACAGGATTTTAACTGAAAAATTTCTTATTAATGAGTCCAATTTCCCAAAAATATTTTTTTTGGTAATTATTCACTTAAAAACTTTGTATTCATTACAAAGAAAACACCTCAAAATCTAATTTTATAATCCCAATATCTTAGCAACTGGATGGTGCAAATTAATAATATTTAAACTTTGACTGCTTGATTTTTGAAAATTTAGAATAGAATACTATAAATGAAGAAGATAATATATTTACCAAGTGCGTCTGTACACTGTTTGATGAAATCAGGATCAAATTCAAAAAGAAGATCGTCACCATCCAGGAATCTCTCAGCAGGAAAGAACTGCATATTCTCACACAAAGTTTCAACATTGTCACACGGCTGCTTTTCTTCCCTTTATTCATATTAATATACTGGTTATTAAATCCATATTGGTTCTAATAATGACATGAGTATTCTAATATAAGTAACAGTTGAATTGAATACATTACATCTACATTTTATCATGAGTTTGTTTGATTCAAAGCAACGTCAATTCAGCAGAACTGAATTGGTATAAAATAATGTAAGATATGGCGTAATAAAATTTTTAATTTTTGTTCTTTTTCAGAAATGTACAGTGTACAGTGTACAGTGTACAGTGTACAGTGTACACTGTACACGGAGTTAATCATTAAACAATTCATCTAATTAAAACTCTTGTATTGCGCAACATTTCAAATAAAGTTAGAGTCTGAACAGCGGAAAATTTCAGTTTCTGAATGAAATCTAGGTCCAGTGTCAAGTTATAGTTAGACATAGTGGACACTGGACATTCACAGGGGCGTACGAGGGGGGGCCCTGGATGTACGCCCCCCCCCCTGCGAGGGGGGGCACTCGCAGGGGGGAGGCTTATTTAATATTACATCTGGAAATTTGTTGAAAAAACCTCGGATTCTTGATTTTAGAGGGATTACTTTTAAAGCTTTTCATTATCTTTTTTTAAAAATCATTTTGTAAATTTCTTTTTTCATTTCTTCAAAGTTCACAAACCTAAGCAGTTTAATCAATCAATTGAGAGGTTAAAGCATGGTTTCCAGCAAACGATACGTTTCGCGAAATTCCGCATTTCTTCGCGAAAATGAATGAAGCGAAAAATGCGAGAACGAAGCGAAATCTTGCGAGTTATTGCAGCAAACTCCAATATTCTAATACATTTGCAACCTAAGGACTAAGGAGTGTAAACCATTGATATTTCAACTTAGAATATTTGATCTAACAGAATTTATATAAGGTCTACGCCATTAGGTTGCAAAGATATTGGAATTTTAAAATCAGAGTTTGCGACACAGACTCAGTTCCTTAACTGAACTTACTTATACATGTAGTCTAAACGTTCTATTTCTTGAATTTCCTTAAATATTCGACTGTTTGGTTCCTGGCTTNTTGTGATTGTTGTATTTATATATATTATATAACTAATAGATAACTTGTTGTTCTTGATGTATTTATATATATTATATAACTAATAGATAACTTGTTGTGATTGTTGTATTTATATATATTATATAACTAATAGATAACTTGTTGTGATTGTTGTATTTATATATAACTAATAGATAACTTGTTGTGATTGTTTTATTTATATATATTATATAACTAATAGATAACGGGCTTAACCTGAGAAATGAGAGTAGACTTCCTTTTCCTTCGTGGCCAATTATCCAGGACAAATAGTGAAGAGGTTTACTCCTGAAATATAGGAATAGTGAAGAGGTTTACTCCTGAAATATAAGAATAGTGAAGAGGTTTACTCCTGAAATATAGGAAAAGTGAAGAGGTTTACTCCTGAAATATAGGAATAGTGAAGAGGTTTACTTCTGAAATATAGGAATAGTGAAGAGGTTTACTCCTGAAATATAGGAATAGTGAAGAGGTTTACTCCTGAAATATAGGAATAGTGAAGAGGTTTACTCCTAAAATATAAGAATAGTGAGGAGGTTTACTCCTGAAATATAAGAATAGTGAAGAGGATTACTCCTGAAATATAGGAATAGTGAAGAGGTTTACTCCTCAAATATAGGAATAGCGAAGAGGTTTACTACTAAAATATAAGAATAGTGAAGAGGTTTACTTCTGAAATATAGGAATAGTGAAGAGTTTTACTCCTCAAATATAGGAATAGTGAAGAGGTTTACTCCTAAAATATAAGAATAGTGAAGAGGTTTACTCCTGAAATATAGGAAAAGTGAAGAGGTTTACTCCTGAAATATAGGAATAGTGAAGAGGTTTACTTCTGAAATATAGGAATAGTGAAGAGGTTTACTCCTGAAATCAGTGTTTCGGATCCGTATCATTTTGATGCGGATCCGGATCCGTGATGATGGATCCGGATCCTGACTCTGATACGGATCCGGATCCGAGGTAACTTTTGATACTCTGAATCGGATTTTCCCTATTAAATGTTATGCAAGGTTATAATTTATAAACTATATTTATTATATATTCCGAAATGTAACAAAAAAAATATAGACTTTTTGGAGTAATCCTTTGGACAGGCCGATCAATCACTTCTTGAAGAGATAGTCGCTGTTAGCCTTGAGCAGGAGAAGGGCGTCCAAATTTTCGTCATGTAAATAATACATTTACGAACCATTTTGATTTATTTATTCCATGGTTTTGGTTAATTTTTGGCGCTACCCGGATCCATATCAACGTTTCCTGATACGGATCCGGATCCGGATCCGACCAAATTATACGGATCCGACCGGATCCGGATCCGAAACACTGCCTGAAATAATAGAATAACTACTTCAGTCGTTGTCGTCGCATAAATCAATACAATGGAGACGACTTCCAATTTCAATTTTCATTTATAGCAAGCTTTTAAACAGAATAGATGCACATAAAAATGGAAACAAAGAAAAGCTGTTAATTAAAAAATAAATTCTCTTTAATCGCTTGTAAACTTGATATTTGAAAAAGGCGTCTTCTTTGTATTGATATAATCGCCGACCATTGTGTAAACCTACAAGATAATCCGATAGTGAACTACAATATTTATCCTATTCGTTAGCACCTATTTTATAAAGGGGTTGCCCACAATAGATGAGACTGTAAAGACGACCTGATTCTTTAACGGATTCCAAGGTTAACTTAAAGGAATATTAAAAACTAAAAGTGTATGAAAAAAATGGGGGATTAAAGTTTGGAAAAATAAGATTACGGATTGAAATTTTTTTTTTTCTTTGAATATTTTTAACAAAATATTCAAATTCTAAGTATTAGAAGTAAAAAACGATTTTTGGAAAGGCAAGAATATAAAGTGGTCAGCGTTTATATCAATACAATGAAGACGACTTTTCTATTTTTGTTCTTATTTCTAATAAGCTTTGTTTAAAAACAAGTTTACAAGTAAACAAGAGAAGCTATTAATTGAGAGGATCTCTTTGTTTCCTTTTTTATGTGAATCCATTCTGCTTGAAAACTATGTAGAAATAAAAAAATTAAATAATAAGTCGTCTTTCATTGTATTGATATATACGACGACGACTGTTTAAGTATAATAATAATAACCTGTATCTGTCTAGGGTAGAGGGTAGGGACCAGGTTAGATCTATTTGATAAATATCTTGAGTAGGTCGTATCCTAGATTGGTAATATATTCACAAACAAATTAAAATAAACTAATGTCTGTCTCAGAAAAAAGTATCCCATGTCAAAAAATATCCTTACATCACTGTAAACATTATAGCTTGTTGGATCTATGATTAAGGTTTATGAATATCCTTGTATATATAGTATCTAGGATAAAGGTTTATGAATATGCTTGTTTATCTAGTATCTAGGATTGAGGTTTATGAATATCCCTGGGTAGGTTGTATCTAGGATTAAAATTTATGAATATCCCTGTATATCTAGTATCTATGATTAAGGTTTATGAATATCCCTGTATAGCTAGTATCTAGGATTAAGGTTTATGAATATCCTTTTATATCTAGTATCTAGGATTAAGGTTTATGAATATCCCTGTATAGGTTGTGTCTAGGATTAAGGTTTATGAATATACCTGTATAGGTTGTATCTAGGATTAAGGTTTATGAATATCCTTTTATATCTAGTATCTAGGATTCAGGTTTATGAATATCCCTGTATAGCTTGTATCTAGGATTAAGGTTTATGAATATCCCTGTATAGCTTGTTGTAGTTAGGATTAAGGTTAATGGATATCCCTGTATAGGTTGTATCTATAATTAAGGTTTATGAATATTCCTGTATAGCTTGTTGTATCTAGGATTCAGGTTTATGAATACCCCTGTATAGCTTGTATCTAGGATTAAGGTTTATGAATATCCCTGTATAGCTTGTTGTATCTAGGATTAAGGTTAATGGATATCCCTGTATAGGTTGTCTCTAGGATTAAGGTTTATGAATATCCCTGTATCGCTTGTATCTAGGATTAAGGTTTATGAATATCCCTGTATCGCTTGTATCTAGGATTAAGGTTTATGAATATCCCTGTATAGCTTGTTGTATCTTGGATTAAGAAAAGGTTTATCTAGATGTTTGAATGATTCCAGCTCTAGACCATTGTTTGGTATCAAGGAATATATCTGTTCAACCCACTCCTAAATTAAAGTGATTGATCATATATTTTGAAATTAATTCCTTTTCCATTTTTCTTCGTGTACTGTGCACTGTACAGAATGCCTTTTGCATGATCTAGTCATAATCTGAAAGACCCAATGTGACGTGATGATCAGCCCGGGGTTAGATACTGTCCGGGCAACTGCATTTTTAATAGTTTTGACACTTTTCCCACATTATTAAATAATGAAAGCATTTTCATATACTTGCCGTGTGAAAACTTTGATGTTAAATAAGTTTTAAAATGTAGTAATAATAGAAAAAATGAAAAAAAAATATTCCGGATCGAATGTCGATGTAAGATCTGTGTTTGGCTACGCTCAATAATACACGTCGAGGTTTAAATAAATACTTTATTGACTAATATTTTAAACTCAATTTATCTAAATCGAAAACATATATCAAGGTGACGTGGCAGGAATATAATGTTCATCTTGCCGCGTCAGAATATCCGGCTTCAGCCTCTTCATATTGAGTCGTCTTCCGCCACANCAGGCAGAAAAATAGTAGCATTACAAACTAATTTTTACAATATAATTTTTAAAATATGATAAATAAAGCGATAATTACAAAATAGCCCTGGTCCTGCCTATTCCAAAATGTGGTCTACCTTTTTAGTGCGCTTTAAATTAACAGAAATAATATATGTAACGTCGTCTGATTACCTGTCAATTAATTCCGGGTCTTTCTGGTTATCGCTGTATATAATAATTCTCTTCGCTCATATATATATTTGTGTATTTATATATTCGTATTTATGTTAGCTATTTTTTAAACTTTATGAATATTTTCATTTTAATTTAAGGTTGTGGGCGTCATCAAATCCATACATAAAAATATATGTTAGTTATAGCTGGCCACACGGCTGGACCGAATTGTTCGAAATTTTTTTTTAAGGAATCCATGGGTACACTGGGGGTCAAAATCGATTTTTATCTTTTTCTTAATAAATTCCCCACCCATTAAAAAATACCCCGCGAAAATAGTTGTATTCCTTCTTTTAAGGGCTGTGTGCTGAGTTAATACCTGCATTGTGTCTAGAGAGTGTTGACTTTGTACTGCAAGGGTCATGTACTGTGCAGAATAGTGTCTGTCACGGAAACTGTGTAACCTTTAACAAGACAATTTCAAACCCGTTACTGTGGGTTTTATCTAATCTAAAATTGTATTAAGTATTAATTTCTGTTTGTTTGTTAGTATGTCCAATCATAGCTCGTAAACATTTGGACCGATTTGTCTCAAATTTTAATTGGGGAACTCGATAGACCCACGGGAATGTTCTTAGCTTGGTTTAAAAACTATAAATTGAGTTTGTGGACTTTAATTTAAAAATTTTGGTTTGCCGGCAAAGCTGGGTTCCCAATCTAGTTAAACTTCCAATCATATACCAGATTAAAAATCTAAAAAAAACTTGTTGGGTACTTTTTATACTTTTTACTTTATAAAATGAAAACATGGGCATACTTTTGAGTTTTGATAAACAAATCTATAAGAAAAAAGAAAAGAGAATACTGGCAAATTCAAGTGCTATTTAAAATTTATTTAATTATCGAAACCACGAAACCCTGCTTCAAATCAGACTTTTTGTTCGAAAAAAAACGGTCAACCAATTATGAAGCCTCACCACAAAACTGAAGTGATTCTTACAAATGTCAAATTAGTTTTGTGTTACGAGTACTTTATATTAATTAATAAATTATCTGATGTTACAATTAATTAATAAAATTTGAATTTTGGATATTCTAAATTAACAATTAAATATTAAAAGAAATTAGAGTAGAAAATAAAAATAACCTTTTGCTCATTTCTGCATCGGTCATTCCCTCCGGAGAGAGAGATTTAGTATTCCCCCACATAAACTTAGACATGGGATGTCCCTCAGCGATCCCTCCATAGATCTGCGCAATCCTTATTTGAAATAAAAATTAAGACGGATGTCATATTGGTCATATTGGTCAAAACATTGTTAATTAAATATTTTTCTTTCTGAAAAAGGGGTGGGAGGATTTTTACAGAACGCATCCCCCCCCCCCTAGAACCAATCAAATCAAATCAAATCAAATCACATCAAACCAAACTAAACCAAACCAAACCAAACAGGAGAATGCTTTTAGCCAACATTGTTTAAAAATTAAACTTACTTCCTCCTCATCATCGAGTTCTCCTTTAGCAGCTGTTTCTTCTTTTGCAGCAAGAAGAGCTTCCTCCTCGTCAAGTTTATCTGGAAGAAATTAAAGAAATAAATTTCGTTTCCAAAAAAAATGGATCCGGATCCAGGTCATGAACATGTGTTTCAGATTTACTGATTTTTTGAACAGAAGAAGAATTTACGAATTATTTTTCGTACTTTTTAAAAGTAAAAAAGTTTTTCAATTATTTTTATGCATCAACTTGATGAACCAATTAGAGATAAGGACATTTTCGATAATCTCCCTTTTTTTCAACAATTCAGATTTAGTTTTGAGAAAAAAGATTTTTTTTTGCTGTTTTTAAGTTTTTATTTCGGATATTTTTGCGGATCCGGATCCAGGAAGTTAAAATGTTGCGGATCCAACGGATCCGTATCCTAAGCACGGGTTTCCAATAATTCAATTAAGTTCATTTTGAGACCTACCTAAGGGATAAGTGCAGTCGGATATAAGAAGAACTGTTAAGCCATTCTTAAGCCTATAAATAATTTTTGTAAATTTTCATGAGAGCGTTTTTGCGACAATTTATCAAATATCAGGAGTGTACACTGTACATTTTATTGAAAATTATCCCCCGCCCCCCCGAAGATATTTAGGTCTGCACGAAGCACAAAAAACTTTTTCTTTTAAATTTCCACAGATCTTCGAAAATGAAATTCTTGTTTCTTTAAGTTTTTTTTTAACATATTTTCTTTTTCTTAAAAATAAACATCGTTGCCAAATATAAGATTAATATATTCTAAATAACTACCGGATAGCTCTATACTCCTTCTTGTCAGTTGAAGCTTTCTCAGGAGTTTGTAGAACAGTTGCTGTTCTCATCAGTTCAGGGACTGGACTAAATATTAATACCATTAAATTATATATTAAATTATTTCAGGGAATTGACTGAACACACAAACATTGCTTAATTTCAGGGATTTGGGCTCAAAATATAAGATTAGAAATTAGAATCTTAATGGAGCACTTTTAGAACTTTCAAGTGACCCTCCATTAGAAAGGGGCATACCCGATTCACACCGGTTATTAAACCTTTATCTGATAACTCGTTGTTTTTCTAGATCATAAATGTTAAATGTTAAACTTTTTATTCAATGATTAAGTGCAACATGTCACATTTAAAGAGAAGCAAGTGCAACAATTGAGTAAATTTGAAATGGGTAGGTTCTACTTTCGTAGTTGTCCATAGAAGGCTCCTTCTTCATCAGTGCAGCCTAAAGACGGGTTACTGCAATACATATACAGTTCTATTTTGAATTAAGAATCAGGTAAATTATGGATCCAATGAACCAGGCAAAAAAATCCTCCCCAAAAACGTTCATTAAACAATCAGGCAAAAGTACCTAAAATGATCATCCTAGGATAGTAAGGAAAGGAAACAGTTCAGGTCGAGACCAAAATTAAATGTTTGAAGAAAATTAAAAAAATTAAATATTGAGAAAAATTAAAAAAAGTAAAAAAAAGTTTTTAAAAATTGTTTAAGTAAAAAACTGGAAGTGTCATTCATTTTAAAGAGTACCGTTGTGAATCTATAAATGGAGAATAAATTAAAATTACTTCTTCACTCTACAGTCCCATTATGGCCCACAGTTCTATTAATGGGGACCAGGGCCACTTCAAGTTACCGTTAAAGGTCCTTCAAGAAACGATTTGATAGCAAATGAGAAGTCCATAAAGTTATCTCAAAAAAGTTAAGAAGTTGTAAGAAAAAACACATTTTTCAAAGTTTTGCAGAAATTCAGTGTTAAGATCCATTTAATTTTAATGCGGATCCGGATTCTGGAAAAAAATGGATCCCGGATCCGGGAAATTAATATTTTTAAAAGTCTACAGATTTTTGTATACAAAGAAATTTTAAAACTTATTTCTCTCTTTTTTTGCTCATTTTTATGCTAAAACTTTATGACTCATTCAGTGATTAAGACATTTTTAATAGTCTCTCTTTAATCAACAGTTCAGATCTGGGTTTTGAGGCCAAAGTTTTTTTTACAGTTTTGGTTGATATTCTGCCCCTGTGATCCAGGAAGCCAAAATGTTGCGGATTCTAGGCACTGACGAAATTAATAAATCACCTGAACTGAAAATCATTGGTTATAGAAAACGGGGCAGGATTTGGTTTTACTTTCTTAGCTCCAGGCCCAGGTGCAGCTCGGACTTTCGTTCTTTTAGGCATTGTAGAGCCTGAGAAGATACGGGTCAGATCTTGGTTTATGTCACTAGTATACAAGGTTCGAATCCACACACTAAACAATTTTTTCATGCATTCTTTTTCTGAAATGAATAAAAATTAGAATTTTCGTTTCTTTTTCCGTTCAACGGTCTGATAGTCTCCCTCCTGGTTTGCAAGACTTGACATGAGAGCTTTCGTCCTGCCTCGTCTCTCCTCGTCCAACTCTCTGCGCTCCTTGTCCTTCTGGTTGGCAAGGAAGGCAACGTCCTTCCTAATCTCCTTCCTGGCTCCCTTCTTCTCCTGCTTGACCTTGTGTCTGAGCTTCTGTTCCTCCAACAAAGTTTTATCTCCTGTTCTCTTCTTCTCAAAAGGTTTAAAATCTTCCTCAATATTCGGCTCCATCATTCTCAGCATTTTAACCTGCTTCGCTGGTCTCACAACAGCGCCCTGCTTGCCTGGTAGATTCTGGATCAATTCCAGAATTTCGTCAAATTTTTCGCGGGTTTCTGAAGGATAATGTTCCCTCATTATATGACCTAGTAGTGTAGACAGTGATCCGAAAATTTCTGAAGCAGCTGGAATATCACGATATAGATGAAGAAGTTTGATTGTTATCCGATTTGCACTGTGAACGCAAGAAACTTTGAACTTGGTATCCATTTCTCTAACAGATGTGATCTCACATATCTTAAGTTTATCCACAGGTCCAGAGTAGGGGGTTTCCAGTAGAAGGAGAGCCCCTCCCTTGCATGGGGGGACTGGTCTTGGAGCAGGATTTTTACTACACACATGATAAATACCAGAGAGAAAATTTACGAGCTCAGGAATAAACCGTTTTGAGAGCATGACACATTCTGTGAGTGTGCTGGCTAGAAAGAGTCCTCCGGCAAAGGTTGGCCTATCCAGCGGCCGAGCTGTAGATAGTATAGAGGACATAAAGGTCAAGACTGGAGTTACAACCGGATGTCGGAAATCACTGGCCGGAAACAAAATGATGGCCAGCTTTAAGAAAATTAAAGTTTCCAATCCTGGGATTGATTTTCTGGTTTGCGAATCGAAATCCCTGAACTTTTCAGCCACTACTTCCTGAACAGCTTTGGCAGCCTGGAGCTGGAACATGCTGGTCAACTGGAACAGGAACGGAATTGTCACCTCAATAGCTTTTAGTCCTATTTTCTCCAGATTATAATCCCCGCTGGACTCCTCATCGAATGCTGCTGCACAATCCTGGATAAATTGAAGTAGGAGAGGGAAAAATGCTGCAAGTTTATCCTTATTTCCCTCACCGAGGCTTGGATGGTTACATTTTAGAATTCTTTCCAGAACTAGTTTAATTTCATCTACACTGCGTCCTGTAATGTGAGAATTAAACTCTTCGTAAGTTGAGGGAACAGTGAATGAGTAGGGGAGTTCAGCACTAGCTTTCTTTATCATGTCCTTAATCTCAGCATCAAGTCTATCTTTCTCATTCTCATCAATCTCCTTGTCTTCTTCCTCAAGGTCGGAGTATTTGTCCTCATCTTCATCCTCCTCCTCACCTTCATCACTGTCCTCCTCGTCTTCTTCCTCTTCCCCATCACTCTCATCTTCTGCTTCTTCCTCCTCTTCATCACTTCCTTCGTCCCCCTCTTCAGCACCCTCTTCCCCTGATAGCAGTTGCTTTAACAATTTTCTTTTCTCTTTTTTACTCATTTTATTTTTTTTCTTCACTTCCCCATCATTCATGTCTTCGACATTTATTGAAGATTTGGAGGATACATTTTCCTTTTCTCCTCTCATTCTTTTCAATCTGTCTTGCTCTAGTTTGTCCAGTTTTTCCTTCTCTTCTTTAATAACCTCGTCCTCTGTCTTTAATCTATCTGTTCCTCTAGCCTCCTTCTTCTCGTATGTGAGCTGGCGAACCAACATGTCGTATGGATCATAGTCGGCGTTTACCTTCTCCTCAACCTCATCCCGTCGACGAATCATCGATGAACTTCGAACTGATCCAAACAGCTGTTTCCAGTTGTCGTCCAATTCATTCGTCTTTTCCTCTGTCTCCTCGTCCAGCTTCCGCTTATCTGCTTTTCTTTTCTTGCTTTCTTTTATCAATGTTTCGATCCATTCCTTCCTCGTGTTTCCTCTCCCCTCCTTAAATTCGTCATCAGTTTTTGTCATGAAACCACCAAAATGTGCCTCTTCAACAAACTTGGCATTGAGTCGTTCTTCCTCCTCCGCATCGTCGTCGCTGTATGGATTGTCGAACTTGTCGATCTCTTCTACTTTAGTTCCGCCGTGTGTTAGATCGTATTCGTCTCCAAGATTAAATATTGACTGTTTACCGGACCCCCGAAGCCTTTCAGCTGTGTATCTAAAACAAATAAAAATAAGACTTTTATTTGACAAGTTAAAAACGCTCATAAAGTCTAACAGGGGTCATCAAGATACATTTTGTTTTTATAAAAACAATTTAAACATTCAAGTAATTAATTTCCACATAAAAAAAAACAGTTATAATACTGTGAGAACCAGAAAACGATAATTAATCGTATTTGATGATGTTAAAATATTTATAATAGACACTTATTAATTCACTTAGATAAATTGGTCTGTTTACACCGTATAATTTCATGTTGATTGGACTATTCAAAATCATAACTTAAGTCAAAAGGTCGTCTTCTTATTTCAGAGTTTGTTGGTTATTACTGTATGCAAAACATCGATCTACCCTGGAACTTGCTTCAAAAATGTTTCAAGAGTTCTTTCAAACATTTTATCAGTAAGTTTAACTATTAACCTCTTTTATTTTTAAAATTAGTTAAAATATTTAGTTGGCTGATTTTGAAAAAAGATGTTTAAACACATCTGATGATTAGCCGTGTCTGATAACATGGAGGTTAGAAATTATTTATTTATTTCCCAAACGATGTTGACGGGAAATCTGAGGGAATAATATTTACTTTTTTACCGCCGTTTTACTAACATTACCGAAGACCTATAATTCCCCCAACAGAGGGAGATTAAGTTACATAACGTCCCTATGGACTGACTATAAGAAATATAACCACCCGCTCTGATAACGATATAAAGAGCTAAAATTTGTTTCAAACTTATTTTGAAATTAGCCAACAAAAAAAATCTTATCGCTTTTAAACCCCAAATCTGAAATGTTGAAAAAAGAAAAATTTTCAAAAATGTCCATATTTCTGAATGGTTCATCAAGCTTTACAAAAAAAATACCGAAAAAAGGAGAAAATTTGAAAATTTTTCTTTTGTTCATCATATCTGCTAGGGTTAAAGACATGTCCAATGTTCATGACCTGGAACCGGATCCATTTATTCCAGTGCGGATCCAGGATAAATGGATCCTAAGCACTGATCGAAGGTACCTGGCAATCATCTTGTCCTCTGCAGACAGATTATTGTCCTTCTCCCCAATCCTCTTGTCTAGGAACATGTTACTCTTGTTCTTCATCTTGTATTCTTGTAACAAAGTTTCTTTTCTCTAGGCATAAATATTGTTTAAATACTGTAGACGTAATTTCACAGTGATCCTCCATTTATAGAGTGGCAGGTCAGATTCACGACGGTAATCTTAAAACCCTTTGCATAAATGATAAATAAGATATCCTTATTCTTAAGCTGAAAAAATGATTTAATTTCAACTGAATGAGACTACTTGCGGATTCGCACTGCAGAGACACTACAGAAAATTGAAGTCATCACCTTAATAAGTAGTAAAACGAAACTATCTTACAGATCATCTCTCAGATTTAGATTTAAAGGGTATCGTTGTGAATCTAACATTCCCCTTTCAGCAAATCGCGAAGGTCAACAGCCCGGAAATAATAATTCTAAGGCAAATAGAGCTAACAATTTTCGTGATGTGCTTAATCTCTAACATCACCAGAAAAGTATATTTTTAGCGAAAAAAAAAGATCGTAAGAAGTAAAAGTTGTTTGACACAATCTTCAGTTTCCACACAAGTTTTGCAGGATCATTTTTGAATATTAAACCCTTGACCGATAATATTTACAAACAGGCGTAAATATTTTCTTGAAAAATCACCCCTCCCACTCCAAAGTATGGATACGCGGAGCGGAATTTTGTTTGGGGATTAATTCGCTGAATTTGGGAAATTAAATAATTCAAAGGGAAAAAAATTGTTGGGTAAAATGTATACAAGGATGAAAAAATTTGCCTTTTGATGAGCATTTCTGTTTGCATATTGAATATTAATCCAGTTCACGCGTTGCATTAATTCATTAAAACCTTGGTTTGGACCGTCCACAAAAAAGGATTTCTAACCCTTAATTTACGACAAAGCAACCAACGAAAAATTTCTGGTTTGAGACAACTCTAGTGATCCCACATAACTTACCACTTGGATAGCTTTAGCTCTAGCTACGCCAGGTTTACCAATATCATTCTTAGTTTTCCGTCCCAGAACCTTCTGCTTCGTTCTAACAGTTCGAATATCAAAAGGATTTAATTTGACAATTCCACCCTTCTTTGCGGCAATTGCTTCTGCCATTCCTTTTTTGTTCTTCTTCGTTTTGGCCATTTTAACTCTGAAAGAATAAACATGAAAGCGGGGAAATTAGAACAAAAAATTTAGCTTTTATTCGAAACTTTAAAGACACCACTTTTTGTTTTGATCTTCTTCCCAGGAGTGGTTCTTTCAGTTTCTTCTGCTTTCCTCTTTTTCTTTCCGGAGTTGTCAATTTTAGCCGGGGCTTTCTTCCCAGGAGAAATTCTTTCTACGTCGGACAATCTCTTTCTTTTTTCTCCAGCTTTCTTCGTTACCGACGATTTAGCTGGAGACGTTGCCTCCGCGGACTTCTCCGAAGAAGTTGTTTCAGAATCATCAGATTTGGGTTTCTGTTCCTCTGTCGTTAGTGGAACAGATTCGGAAGATTCTGTTGTCTTCTTTTTCTTCAGTTTCTTCTTACGGCCACCCTCGTACTTCTCTTCATCAAAGTATTCAACAGAGTGGACAATTTTCCTCAAATCCTGCTTAACTAGATCCTGCAAGTTGGTCGGAATCTTTGGAGGTTTTGGGAATATCTCTTCTCCTTCCTCGTTCTTCTTATCAATGTCTGCAAATTTGATATTTTCGTACAAAGAGTCTGTTGTCTTAGTTGTGTCATCCGTAGCGGCGGTATCGTTAGTGTATGTAGTATCATTATCCGACTCATACTCCTCATCCTCATTTACATCTTCTTCCATTTCTTGACTCCTCCCTTCAGTAATTTTCCAGTTCTTTTTGATAATTTCTCCAGGAAATCGGTAGGACTGGTCCAATCTTTTAACCTATTTCGAAAAAAATAGCATTTATACTTTTAAAACAGAAACAATCAATACCATTGGAAACTTGAATTTGTTTAAGAAAGGTTCTTAAAAATGAACGAAAGTTCTTAAGATGACTCGGGCAGTAGAATTCGAGCATGCAAACATTCATTAACGTTTATTAGATACAGGGTTACCAACAAAAGATGAGACTGTAAAGACGGCCTGAAACTTTTTAAATATGATGATTACAAAGTTAAATATTTTCTTCTGCCATAAATGTAGTCGTTAAATGGCTTACTTCTTGATTTGACAAGGAACTAAGAAATGTATTATAACCCGAACCTGTAAGTTCTCTCGATGTATTTCGTTTTGACCCTTTCTAGTACAGTTGGAATATAATCATCTGGAGTTTCCACCAGTTCAACACGTACGACACCTCGCAGAACCTGAATATATAAAATATAATCATCTGGAGTTTCCACCAGTTCAACACGTACGACACCTCGTAGAACCTGAATATATAAATGGTTTTTTTGTATGTCCGATTGTAACTCAGGAACCCTTTGACCGATTTGCCTTAAATTTTGCCTAGTTTTGAGTTTCTTAGTTGAGTGGGTCCACTTCACTTTAATAGGAAAAAAAAGAGATAAAATCGCAATTTACGACCAAGCGCAGTAAAACTACGGAGTAACTTTAAGTACCATGGGCAATGCTGGGTTTTCAAGCTAGTATATGCTAGTATATATTATATATATAAGAGATAAAATCTTCATTTACAACCAAGCGCAGTAAAACTACGGAGTAACTTTAAGTACCATGGGCAATGCTGGGTTTTCAAGCTAGTATATGCTAGTATATTATATATTTATATATAGCATATATACTAAACATGACTTATAAAGGGTTACCCACAAAGGATGAGACTGCTAAGACGACTTTAAGATATGATGATCCCTGGGTTAAATGTTTTTTGTCTTTTAATGGCTTCTTTAATGATTTGGCAAATAGAAAAAACAAGTTTAACGTTGCACGGCTTTATGAAAATAAAGAAACAGCCAATGTATACATTCTGTGTACAGTACAGTACTGAGTAAGTCGTCTTTGAAGTCTCATTGGTTGTGGGTAACCCTGTAGTTTAAATTTTTTTCCCTTTAAAATTTCAAAAATGATCTTTAAAAACAAAAAATAAGGGATCTGCTACATAGAAAAGTGATTTTCAACACGAATATCATAATCAATACAAATTTTGAATGACTACTAAGTACTAGTGGTTATATGAAATTATTTTTACACAATTTCACGTCTTATAAAATCATAATTAACTACGCAGTGCAAAAAAACGACAAAAAAAAGAAACAACTAAAGACACATCACCAATTAGAATTTGTACCTTCTCTTCATCAGTTTCTCCTCCAGTAGCAGGAACAATACCAGGACAATCTATTAGGTATATTTTCCTCATGAGAGTTATATACTGCCATACTTTAGTCTCACCAGCAATAGGAGCTGTCTTACATACTTTCTTATTCCTAGATGGACAACATTTTAGGTATTTTCCCTTAGGCGACTTCCCATGTGAAAACTTCTCAAGGTAATGTTAGGTCGTCTTAGGCTGCAATGGGGACCGAGCGCTGCTGCTAGGATGGACTAGTAGGCCAAGCGCTGCGGCTAAGACGAACTTTGGAAGTTGATGCTTGGGAAATTGCACATTTGGGATGTTGACACTTAATACTCTTGAGAAGTTGCTGCTTGGGAAAAAGCCTATTGAAAGTACCTTACATCGATATTAACAATAAGGTAATAAATCTCTATAAATCTAATCACGTGAAATGTGGATAGATGAATGATCAAATATCAAAACCTACAAGTAAAAAGCAAAAAAAGCAAGATTAATTTCGATTAAACTACTGTTTCTGGTGGTTTTAAAGGTAAGTTAGTAAGATAGGTTAAAACTTGATCGGGATAAAGTAAAACTCTTAAAACTGTAAACCAAGAAGACGACTGATGGTCATGATTTTAAATAGCACAACATAAAACACTGCAAGCGTGCAATGAATAGATAAGAGATAATTAAGAAATAATTCAAAGGAATGATTGGTTTAAAATACAAAACTTTCGGCCATTTTAATTTTTGAATCAAGTTTACAATACCTGAGCGCATTGATAACGCTGGATTTCCCTGTGTTAGGATATCCTATAAACCCAACAGATATCTGTTTCGAGGACTGATGAAGCTTCCCCAACTGACGCAGTAGGTTGATCAAAGCTCCCTTTCCGAATGGATGATTCATCGACGCATGGAAAGCTATCGTAGGAAACTCCTGCGTTAAAAAAACAAAACGTTATCAAAATATAAAATAACAGGATCACCATTATTAAAGGAACTGTAAGCGTAATTTCAAGTGACCCTCCATGCAAAGAGAGCAATGCAAGTAACAAGTAACATAACGGTACTATTGATACCCCAGGACTGTTCATTGAGTAGAGAGATCTTTCTGTTTAAATATATTCACACCGGCTTAAATTCCTCGCAATAAGACTGTACGCTGTGTACAGCCTGAACTCAAACAGCTGATCTGCTACTTCATACTTGCTTAACTCGAAAATAGACCGTTTGACGTTAACAGGTTTTCAGACATACAAAAGATTTATTTTATGCCACTTTTAGAACGTAACTATTGACTTCTATGTAACCCAATTTACCTGAGATAGAAGTGCAAACCACTTCTGTGTGACCCAATTTACCTTAGATAGAAGTGCAACCCACTTCTGTGTGACCCAATTTACCTGTGATAGACGTGCAACCCACTTTTGTGTAACCCAATTTACCTGTGGTAGAAGTGCAACCCACTTCTGTGTAACCCAATTTACCTGTGATAGAAGTACAACCCACTTCTGTGTAACCCAATTTACCTGTGGTAGAAGTGCAACCTACTTCTATTTAACCCAATTTACCTGAGATAGAAGTGCAACCCACTTTTGTGTAACCCAATTTACCTGTGATAGAAGTGCAACCCACTTCTGTGTAATCAAATTTACCTGAGATAGAAGTGCAACCCACCTCTGTGTAACCCAATTTACCTGTAATAGAAGTGCAACCCACTTCTGTGTAATCCAATTTACCTGTGATAGAAGTGCAACCCACTTCTATGTAACCCAATTTACCTGTGGTAGAAGTGCAACCCACTTCTATTTAACCCAATTTACCTGTGGTAGAAGTGCAACCCACTTCTGTGT